ATGGGGGAAGTTAGAGATTGGTGTTCGAATTTTTTTAGGGGCATTTGTTTCTCCTTATTTTTAATTGGTCTCTTTTTGAGCTAATTTAAAACCAGTCATATTTTTGTCTTGTAAAAGTCTATCGGTCATATTTATGCAATTCTTTCTAATTAATTTTGTGCACACATTATTATATATGCCCATGACGATGATTATGAATTTTGTTGCCACACAATGCAATGTAGCGAATGTGTTTCAATGAAATGGTACACCTCTATGAATTGATTGTATGTGCATATGGACAAAGTGTGCCAACGGTGTACACGAAAAGGTGCACCACAACTATCACCAAATTCACAAATATATCATTCTTTTACTTTTATTAAAAAAAGACTCAAATTTCAACTTTTCTTACAATTACGCTTTCAAAATGGATTAATTAATAATTAGTAAGACTTGAGAAGAAAATCCTATTAATATTTCATATTTTTCTATTTCTTTCTAATTTTAAGTATACAAACTTGTATTGGTTATATCTTATTGGTATTGATAAAAATGTGTAATTTTGAAAATACAAAACCGAAAAGCATAATTGTTAAAAAATGAAGTTTGAGCCTTTTTTTGATAAAAGTCAAAGAATATGATATATTTGTGAATTTGATGATAGTTTAGGATAAAATCATAAAATAAGCTAATAATCCAACATTTAATTAATAAAGATATGAAATTTAAGATCAGGTAGTTTTTGTTTTGTAAAATATTTATACTTATAAATTTAAGAGTCATTTTCTTTATAATCCTTATAAATCTTTGTAAAATATTTATACTTGTAATTTAAAAGACCTTTATAATAATACTCCGTAATATAATGGGGTTAAATCGATCGAAAAGAGATGTGTTCCAGTTCTTCTCGATCAATAAACGTTACAGCATATTATTGATGTACGGAGGACATGTGATGTATCAGTCACTGATTTAGGGGTTCATAATTTCTTCCGAGAAGATGGCGTATGGGGCTGTGCGCTATATTTCAGCATCAACATTCCCCTGATCCAAGGGAAAACATCGGAGGGCGGAGAAATGATTAGGATACATTACACACACATATGTGTATTAATACTTTCAAGGTTTCCAACTTTCCATTAAAAACACTCCGTATTGTTTATGATTTATTTTCTTAATGCATAAATCAATAATATATTACCTCCATCTCCTTAAGATTGGGATAAAGAAGAGTGATACAATTCTTAAGAAAAGTAAATTTATGTAGTTAAATTTAATGGGACATACAGAAAAGGTAAAATTGGACGATTATAGTGGGACAGATGAAGTGTTAAATAAGTAGAATAGGTGATCGAACAATGAACCATTCAAACGTTGTGTCAAAGTTGGCATACCTAGAGCATCTCCATTGTAATGCTGGATATGTGACATGAGTGGTAGATATAAAGAATAAATTTATGACATTTGGTGTTTTTGGTAAGTTTTTATTTACAATGATAATCACAATGTCAACACTTAGACATTGTATTTGACATTGTGAAGAAAAGTGTACCAAAAAGATATAAAACTATTCAAATAAGGAGAGAAATATTCTACTTATAATTTTTTTATATTTTTTAACTCTCTCATGCATGCCACATATGCACCGCTTATGTTTTTGCATTGGATCGAGAATTCGAGATGCTCTTAAAAAAGAAGACTAACTTCCTATTATATCGACAAAACTGAATAATACATCGATACTCCGTATAAGATATTGTTATGTAAAATCAGAGGTTAAAATTGAAGTTGAATGCATTAACTAAAATCAGAAAAACCTTATTTAAATTAGGAGGAATTTTGTACTAATAATTAGTACTCCAAGTAAAGATAAAGCCCCATCTCTTAGAACCCCTCAGAAGTCAGAAACGCGCGTTGTCGTAATACTATAAAGGAGATTCTGTTTTTGTAATCTTAAAAAGAATTACATTTTGGTGTTTGACGTGGAGATCAAACGATTATTGCAAGGGTAAGCTGAACAAAGTTATTACGGAGTAGTTTTTTACTATGCTTTCTTTCTAATCTATTCGTATTATTACGGAAGTTGAAACACAAAATGTCGAGAGAAAAGAATCGGTTCGTTAAGGTTTCATTATTGTTGAACGACGGTTAGTACAATATTAAATACTCGTATTACGTAATGTGATACGAAGTACCCCTCCATCCCACTTAAATTATTGTTGAATAACTATTAGTACTAGGGGTGTCCATCTGTTCAGTTTGGTCGGTTTTCGGTTTTAGAAAATGTGAAATCGTAAACCAAACCGCATTACTTGAGTCGGTTTCCGTTCAGTTACTTTCGGTTGGTTTGTGTCGGTTTCGGTAGGTTTTAGCTTGTTTTTGTTTGTTATTGTCGGTCACTTTCGATTCGGTCAGGTTTTTAACCCGAAACCGTAAATTGAACCGCCAATTATTAATCGGGTTTGAGTTGGTTTTGATTTGAGTCGTTTGGTTTCAGTTTTTCAGCTTTTTTTTGTTTACCCCTATTTATTACAATATTATTACGTAAGATGATATGATACTATTACGGAAGTGAAAACACAAAATGTTTCGAGGAGAGAACCAATTCGTCGGGTTTTATTAATGATGATAAACTTTGGACAAGATTTTTAATTACTCTCTTCGTCCCGCTATTAACTTCCTACTTTGACCTACACACATATTTAGGAAATAAATTTGACTTTACTGTTTAGACAAAGTTTGACACTGTTTAGACAATGTTTGGCACTGTTTGACACTGTTTTGATGTATGAAAACTTTCCATTTAGGGAAATGAGAAGATGATTTTGAGACGACCCAAAAAGGAAAGCAGGAAGTTAATAGCGGGACGGAGGGAGTATTATATTTGTATATAATTTATTAATGGGGAAAATAATGCTACGTATAAATACCCCAAACTTTTAGAGTTTGAGATATTTAAATTATTTTCTCCTTTTTCAATTTTATACTCTTATGAAAATGTTTTTAATACATAACATTTTAATCTAATTTCATGTTTATAATAATTTTGTATTAAAAAAATACTATTAATTAAAGTTAATTTCCATTGATCCAAATTGAGGAATAGTCAATCTGGAGAACTTTTTTAAGATCCAAAGGGGGCATATAAATGGGAAACTATCGAATATATATGTATGTGATATTGTGATCGAATACAAGCTTTTGGGTTTGCAATTATTCCAATTATTAATGTACAAAAATGCTATTGGTACCCCCAAAATGGGGTACCCCATTCTTACCCCGGCCTATTGTGCGGTCATAAACGAGGCAACACATTTAAGTGGTCCCTACTTAAATGTGTTGCCTCGTTTATGGCCGCACAATAGGCCGGGGTAAGAATGGGGTACCCCATTTTGAGGTACCAATAGCATTTCTCATTAATGTATTAGCAATTTGGCGCAGCCAAATTATGTTCGTCAATCACCATCATGATAGCAAAATTGTACACTATGTTGACATCAAATGAGAATGTACTGCCACCTAAAACGAGAAATGAAATTTTCCTGTGTCGGATCTATTGTTTGATCTATAAATCGATGACTTAGATTTGTTGACGTTGATGTAGTTTTACTCTTTCAATTCATACTATTACGAATTCTTAGCTTATCACTGTTCTTTCTTAGTTAACGATTAACTTTTTTTTTTAACTCCAAGGGGCGTTTGAGGGAAGAGGGCTGATACTCAATCCACTGAGTTTCGAACTCGAGACCTCCCGTAAGAGAAAATGAGTCGGCAACCAGCTGGGCCGGACCACTTCTTCATTCAAAAAAAATAAAAATAAAAAATTCAGATTTTGAAAATTTAAAAATGAAAAGGAATTTAATACTCACTCCGTATTTTAATGTTTGCTACAATTTTCTTTTCTAGATGTATTTTAAAAAAATTCTACACTTTTCTTCAAAATCGCAACACTTTCTTTGTCTCAATCTTATGGGACCAAGGATATGACCAAGGAGAATTGAATCCAGTTTTGACCAATACACCCTTTTTCTCGAATATAAAGTCCATTGTTTTCTTTTTACTTCAATTCTATATACATAGTACTATAATGGGACAAGAAGTAGTGGCACACATATCTATAAAAAGTGGTTTATGTGGTTGATATTGAATTGATAAAGTAAGAATAAAGTAAGAATGATTTAGAGGCACACAAACTTTACCAAATAAAGTATGAGACAATCTTAGTGGGACGGACCGAAATAGTAAAATAGGGCAATCTTAGCGGGACGAAGGTAGTAATATTTACAGAGAAATAAATTCAATTATTTAGAGAAATCATCAGTACCTCTATTCATAATTTATTTTAATTACTCATGCTATGTTTTAAACCTATTTACAACAGTTTATAACAAAAATATATATAATCCATTCATTCCATAAACAAGTTTTACGATGTTTGACTGCTTCTAAATACTTGTATAACTCTTCAATATAATTCATTGTTAATATTTTCGGGGCATATTATTATTACAAATATATTAGAGTTTGCATATTTAGACATTCTAGTAAGAATGATTCAAATTTTAAATCTAGAAACTGTTTTTAAATATGGAGTATGATCAGTGGCGGATTTTGAATTTTCATATTGGGTGTTCAATGTTATTAACAATTAAGAATATAAAGAACAATAAATAAATACACTAAATTTATCCATGTATACTTGTATGTTCTTTAATTTTTTGGGTGTTCAACAGAACACTTTTGAACAATGGTGGCTCCGCCCCTGAGTATGATAAAACATTGAGTGAAAGAGCACAAATATGACTACATTTTTTAAATCCCCGGTAGAAGTATTTATGTGTGTTTGGACAAATATACCCTTGTAACTTTTAAAATGTTTTACTCAGTAATTAAATAATAAATTCAAAAAAATAAAAAAATAAAAAATAATAAAACCGTAAAAACTAAACACCGCCGCCTCTACTACCTCCAGCACCGATCACCGAAGGAAATCTGCCAACATTTTTAATAATAATGCCATAATAATGACAGATTCAATGAAAATTTTAGCATTTTTAGAAAAGATGACATTTCTTACAAAAATGGCACAATGTTATATTGAAGACAATTTTTATAAAACATTGATACCATAAACGTTGCTTAAATAAATAGGGCGGTGGGTTAGACAACTTATTTTAGCCGCGGGATATATATGATCATCATTAATTTATGTACGTACCATTGTCATCGTCGCCGTCGCTGAATGCCGCCAGCTCAGAATCAGCTGCAGGTATATTGTCTGCCGGCGGTGGTAGGGTGAAGCCGGTGAAGGAAAAGGGTAAGGCTAAGCTGGCGCTGGAGGCGCGGCTCAGTGCGACGCCACTGCTCAGCTCCTCCAACTCATGCTTCATCTGCGCGCTTCTCCACTTCCTAATGTGTGTGCTCCGCCCTGGCGATGAAACCTTCCTCCGTAGCCCCTCTCCTCCGCTGCTGTCCGGTGACTTCAAGGCCGCCGCCATCATCTCCAGCAGCTGATCCGATCTCGTTCTTAACATACTTGTAGAACACCTTTTCTCCATATACATCAAGTAATAATAATTTAAAAAGAGCTGGGTTTATACGTAGACGATAGGATGGAGATTAATAACAAGGGACTGGTCGTTAATTACTTTCCCCTCCTTATCTGATCGATCATTATATAAAATAAATACATAGATAGCTAGATCAATGGATATATATATATATATATATATCTGTCGAAATGACTTACGGAGTACTATATTGCGTAGGTTGTGGACAGGTGTTCCTCAGTGACTGCGATATGTCTCTATCCCACCACGGGACGCAATAAATAAAGTTAAAGTAAATTCCCTATTACTAAAAGTCTAAAACTTTGTCAAAAAAACAAGAGTCTAAAACATGTCACCTCCCATCCATCTCATATTCAATATTTTGTTTTAGTTTGACACGATATGATTATTAATAAAATAGTTAAAAAATATAAGTTGTACTTTGTAGTTAAAATTTGAGTAGAATAAGGTGAAATGACGAACACCGCGTGTTTCTTACAAAAAACAAAATAGGAAATTCAGTTTAATAAAATCCAAAAAGTAAAGTAAGACAATCAAAATGAAATAAAATAAGTTTATGTTGTATTCCATAAATAGGAATCCTTATGAGTATTGAATGAACAATAATAAGAGCATTTTAAAACTTAAGACAATAAATTGATCGCATTGAAAAGGAAATGATCGAGAGCTAGGTTTAAAGCTTCAGACAATATCCTCTCACATTTTGCAGACGATCGAACTTTGAAGTCTCCTTCTCTCCGTCCTTGAGTAGTGGAAATTTTTCTGCAACATTCCATTCTTAGATAGAGATCACGTAGTTTTCAATTCTCTCTCTCCTGTTGAGATCTAGGTTTTTCTCTCGCTTGTCGAGAGCTAGGATTTTCTGTCGCATGTTGAGAGCGGTGCAATGCTGCACTTCTGCGGATCAATTTTTCTTTGACATTTTGATCGAGTGCAGGATCAAGAAAGGATAATCATGACTTCTATGGTGGTCTAGAGTATAATTATCCTATTCCAACAATTGAGGAGGAGGTCAAAGGGTTAGTTCTTGATTGATCAACATGGGTGGAGGGTCATGACGATAGTGGAAGTGGCACGGACGACGAGCGGACATGCAGAGGTGAAGGGCTAAGCAAGGGAGAAGACAGACTGGCAGCCCACCCCCTCCTGAACCGCTGCTTTGGAGCGATTGAGGAGTTAGGGGTTAGAAGATTTATCTGTTATTTTATTTTTATAGTCTATTTTTCACATTATATTTTACGTGCTCTGTTTTTTGTTGATGTCTTTAGTTTTAGGTCTACAATAATGATTGACAATTTTTCTAGATATTATGTAGTTAGAAGGATCTATATGGCCCATGATTTCCGTGTCATACCCGTTTGTTGGTCAGCGATTCGTATTGCTGTTTCAAGGGTGATTGTCTCTGCGTCTAGCCATAGGCTCGATAGTGTTAGTTGGTTACGTATAGTTGTTGTCGGTGTTGGTATCTGTGAGTTTGTTGTAACGATCCGAATCCTAATGATATTAATATAAGCAGTTTTCCGTTAAAAAAACTCTCCTCTCCTTCGTCTCACATGACCAAGGTCCTATTTGTCAATCGGCCACCTCGGCCTCCATTGTCCTCAGTCGCCTCCGCTTCTCTGCTCGTCGACCACCTCCACTTCTCACTCCCGCCAACCACCTTCGCTTCTGGCCACTATCAGCCACCTCCACCATTCTCTTGCACGCCACACCTCTGTTAGCCACCTCCATTGATATCCACCTTCCATTGCCGGTAAGTGTCACTGCCACCACTACCATCCCACACTTCTCTTTTATTTCTTCTCTTTCTGCCGAACAGCAAGATGGTGAATAGGTTTGGACATTAGCCTACTTCACAACAAATCGGGGGTTATTCAAGATCTTTCAACGAAATATGAATTCAAATTGGCAGCATGGAGGCAAAATTCAAACAAATGGCGATGACTTACTACTAGATTTGGAGATTGTAACCATGGCTACAGTTCGTGACAGCTACGGTTCCTGGCGTTGGTGGTGCAAAAACATGGGGCGGTGCATGGCCAGTGTATGGGCGAGCTAAGGGCAGGTGTCGAGATAGGCTCGTGGGACAGGGGAGGGGTCAACCACACGTCTATTGTGACATGGGAGGGGCTGAGGTAGGCTAGTGGGGTTGGATGAGCTGGTGGCATGGGCAAGGGGGCTGGGTGGACTGGTGGGGCATGGGTGGTGGACTAGCTGATGGGTAGAAGATGGGATGGTAGGGAATGTGTGGGATCGGCATCGCTTACTATGGGCGACTAAGGGGCAGCTGTGATCACTGGTAAGGCCGCGATCATTGATGGGTATTGTGTTGGTTGTCTCAAGATGAAATGGATAGGACTTGGGTGATTTTGGACTAGATGGAGTGTTAAATGTATTTTTTTGGAGAGGGTGAGGTAAATTTGATGAGAGTGATATATTTATGGATAGAGGGAGATAGTTGTGGAGTCTATTTAGGTGAGGGAGTTGGGATATTGTGTTTGAGTGAGGTTTGGAGGGAAGGGGTTGGTGATTTCTAGTGAGCTAGTGATGAGTTTCTTGAGCTATGGGAGATTGTGGTGGTATTTAAATTATACGGGTCTCAGTAGGAATGGTACATGTTATTGGTTCAATGGTTTAAGGTTGGTTTTTTGGTTGATTGAGAAAGAATTCTTGTTAGGTGAAGGATGTATTTTTTGTTTGAAAAATAGTGGTGGAGTGTTGTTCTGGTTGTGCAGTTGGGAAAGTACACGGGAAGATTCTAGCTGAGTGATGGCATATTTGATAACCTTTTCCTTTCGCTAGATATCCATGAGTTCAGCTTCAGTGGTAGCTTGGTCCACAATTCTAGACGATTTACCTTGAGTGCCCTTATTCTTTGGGTGGTGAATTTGTGATTCCTTCATGGTCCATTCACCAACCACTCCTCAAACTCTGCATCAGAGTCTGGTTGCTCTTCTGCAACAACCTCCTCTGTAGGTACCTCTGTGTGTTCAGCCTAATAGATAGAGACATATTTTCCTTTGAGACATTGTTCATACATTGAGCATTGTCTGAACAACCAATCCATTCCAAGTCGCTCTTTCATTCTAAAGTAGTGGTCCAATTGTTTGATCAAGTCCTCAACTAGACTTAGCCTCCAATTCCTCCATTCGAGGACTCTTGCGAACTGGATTCCTACTACTACAAGAGGGTCAGCGATTACTCTACTTTAGTTGTTTGTTGAGGACTGACTATTGGTCATGTGGATTCTTGTAGCCTAGATTCTTTCTCATGAGGTTCTGGTTCCTCAGAGATGTGGATCTCTTGTTCCCCTTGACACGTGGCTGTGGAATCTATTCCCCCTCAAATTTAGACTTCTCCTCAGCCTTCTTGGAAGGTTTCTTAGCCTTCTTTGCTTTCCTAGGAGCCTCCTTCGTGGCTTTCCTCTTAGAGTTCTGCCGATGGGCCAACAACGCTGCCAGCTTACTGATGCAATCAACCTTGGCTCTATGCCTATTCTATAGGGGGGGGAGGGGGGGGGGGAGGTGTGCTACACTATCAGTGATTTCTTTGTGTAACGGTAAGCACATTAATCTTACAAATGTTATCAGAGTCTAGGTCTTGGATTCGACCCCTGATGATGACAACATGATGCACAGTTGAGGCTGACAGAAGATGCAACCAATTCTTGGGCATGTTGGGTTGTGGGTATGCGATGCAACCAATTCTGCTAGCTTGCCGGTGCAATCGACTGTGGCGCTAAGCCTGTTCTATAAGGAGGGAAAGACGTGCTACACTATCAGCGATTGCTTTTAATGTAGCGGTAATAGCATTAATCCTACATGATTTTTGGTTGAATTTCCCAAAAACGTTTTTGCCACATCTTTATTCTTGTTGTTTAACTGGATTATTATTATTTTGGAGGATTTCACTTGATCGTTGCTTAGAACTCTCAATGAATTATTGGATCCAAACATATGTTATATAGAGAGATTTATTAGAACTATGAAGGACATAATGCATAATGTATTTACAATGCAAAATGTTAATTAGGATTACAAACCTCCCAAGGGGAGCATATATACAAAAAAGAGTGGGACGAGTAACTCATATGGGTCCGGTAGACCGAACAATATGACAGATCTAATAAATTATATACGGGCCCAATCGGGACTAGTAGAAAATTGCCTTACAGTGACACTTTTATAGTGACACTTTCTGATATAATGTTACCAGTAAGACAAAAGTGTCAATATTCTCTAACATAAATACATCAACATTACTTAGTGACACTTTTTAAGGAGTATAGCAACAATTCTACTAACGGGCCGGCCTGCGAAGTACTATTTCAACACTTAGGTTTTTTCCAACTCCCCTTACGTTTCAGATCAGTCTTCATCGGTTCATCTCTCTCCCTTCTTTCTACGAACCCTAACTGTTTGATAGATTATCGACTTTCATGGCCCTGCCGCGCAGAACTCCATATCCTAAGTCAGAGAGTCCTTCTTTGCAAGTCGAGTGCTTCTTCCTCAGCGGTTCTAGTCACATTCCAGGTATGTACTTGGTGGGTTCTTTATCTCTTCTGAGTATTCTTTGAACATGTGCAAGAGGAAAACCTAGGGTTACGAAGTGGCAGCCGCCGATGGTGATTGGTAACGCCTACAGTGGCCAAGTACCTTGATCGGACTTTTGGACGGAGGAGAAGACCGGCAATCGCAGCCTCTTGGTTTCGCTGGGCAGCTGGTCGCTAGCCTCTTGGCTTCGTTTTCATTTACTTTAATTTTTTGTCTTCAGTTGTGCGGTTGGATTTGGCTCTCTATTCTCAAATTATCTTCTTCTGGGCTATGCTTGGATCATAAACTCGAGGTTATGAATCATCTGCTCTGATTTCTAGCTTGTTTTCAATAAATTCATTATATTTTTTCAATATTTGTAGTTTGTCGAATCTTTAGTTCTGGTTTGTGGCTGGAATCTCCACGGTGGGAAAAGAAAGGTTATCTTGGTAAGTAAAATATGATGTACCTTATTTCTTGTTGCTTGAAATTAAAGTTTTACATTGTGTTGTAATGCATCAGTCGCGAGAGTTGTTTTATAAGACAAGATAGATATTGGTCTAAGCAAATGATCTAAAGCAT